ATGTTCATAACAGCATTATGCATAAGAGCCAAAAAGTGGAAACAACCCAAACGTCCATCAACTGATGAGTGGAGAGACAAAATGTGCTATATTCATACAATGGGTTATTTGGCCATAAAAAAGAATGAAGTATTGATTCATGCTTCAAAATAGACAGACCTTGAAAACCTTATGCCAAGTGAAAGAAGCCAGTCACAAAAGATCACACATTGCATGATTCCATTTGTGTGAAATGTCTAGAGTAGGCAAATCCATAGAGACAGAAAGTAGATTAGTGGTTGCCAGGGTCTGGAGGGAAGGGAGAATAGGGAGCGACTGCTAACAGGTAGGGGGGTTTGTTTTGGGAGAATGAAAATGCACATCATGAATATATTAAAAACCACTGAATGGTATACTTTAAAACAGTGAATTTTATGGTATGTGGATTATACCACAATTTAAAAATTACCAAGAAGACTGCCACCTATAAAACGGGGACAACAACATTATATACGTTGGGAAGCTGTTGTTACAGGAGAGGACATACATAAAATGCTTAGTGCGGTGCCTGGTACAGAGCAAGCACTCAGACACAGCCGCTACAGTATAATAAATCACGTCAACAGTGATATTGGCTTTCTGCCTAAAAGACAAGGGGGAATGATTCTGACGAAGGGAAGGCTGGAGCTACAGTTCTTGAGCTGCAGCCCAGATGGGCAACAGTGTCACCGCAGAGCACGGGCTAGGGCTGGCGACCCTCCCTTCTCGCTAGCAAAGAGCAATCTCCATGGCAACCACATCAGCTTAGGCCAGGGGCTCCTGTTCCCAGCCGGGTGACAGCATCGCCACAGCAACCTGTCAGGATGGCAAAGACAGATTTTGATGATACTCTGGCAGAAGAATTGCTAAGGAACCCTCGTCTCCATAGAAACCATGTCAGGGAAGGAGAGGGAGATGAGAGAGGGCAACCAGCAAGTAAACACAGGACCACGCCTCCTTGCCCAGATCCTGCGATACCAAGGGACACATCAGGAAAAGCTAGACCAGCCTTGCTGACATCACCTTCAAAGGGGCAGCAAACCAGCCTTTCTTGAGCACCTACTGTGTGCCAGGGACTACAAAGGCTCTTAACATGCTTGACTACATTTAAAATTTCATAGATAATACCCAAATACACTTATTGTTAAGAAACAAATGAGCTTAACTACAGCATGAATAGTATAAAAGCAAAAGTCATTTTCCACCATTTCTAATTCCTCAGTTCAGTGGGTTTTCCTCCAGACTTTTGCTATGTGTTTGCACGTATGTGTTCGTCCTGTATGGCTTTTCAAAACAATTAGTGGGATTGTACAATATATATAGTTCTGTAACTGTATTTCCCTGCTTAACTATGTACCTTAAAGATCTTTGCATGTCAGTACATACAGTTGACCCTTGAACAATGTGGCGGTTAGGGGTGCCACCCCACCCCACCCTCATGCAGTAAAAAATCTGCATATAACTTTGACTCCCCAAAAAACTTAACTACTAATAACCTACTGTTGACCGCTAGCCTAACCGATAAGGTGAATAGTCGATTGGCACATACTTTGTATGATATATACTGTATACTTACAATAAAGTAGGCTAGAGAAAAGAAAATGTTATTAAGAAAACCATAGGAAAATACATTTACAGTATTATTAAAAAAAAAAATCCCTGAATAGGTGGACTCTCAAGTCAAACTCATATTGTTCAAGGGCCAACTGTATATATCTACCTTATTATTATTATTTTTAAAGATTTTATTGAGGAATTGGGGGAGGGAACAGCGTTGGGGAATTTGGGAAGGGGAACAGACAAGTTGCTGTCCTTTTGTTCTTCAGTCTAGTTGTGGCGGACACCCATGTTGGTATTATCATTGCACTTCTCCCAGGTGAGGCAGATCGCTCGCTGGCCACTGAACGGCTGCTCACGGCGGCTCTTGGCAGCTCACGCCACCGGCTGCTCACGCTGGTTGCCTGCCACTCATAGTAGCTTACGGCAGCCCACTGCAGCAGGGGCTGCAGCCTACGACATCGCCGGTGACTCTCAGCAGCCCAGCTCCAGGTGGAGCTGTTGTTCACCATCTGAGCTGTAGAATACAGTGTCACTGGCCCATGTGGGATCCGAACAGGCGGCCCTGCTGCTCAGAGCTGGCATCCCAAGCCAGCTCTTAAAAAAACGAGCCACTCGACTGGCCCCTTAATCTTTCTTTAATATGATAAAAAATGCATAATAAAATTTACCATTTTTAGCCATGTTAGAGTGTACAATTCGGTGGCATTAAATACACTCACACTGTTGTCAACCATCACTGCCACCCATCTCCAGAATTTTTTTATCTTCCCAAACTAAAACTCTGTATCCATTAAACAGTCACTCCTCACTCCTTCTCCTCTCCAGCCCCTGGTAATCACCATTCTAATTTCTGTCTATGAATTTGACTACCCTAAGTATCTCAGATAAGTGGAATCATGTAATCTTTGTCCTTTTCTGTCTGGCTTATTTTATTTACCATGATGTCTTCCAGATTTATGCTCATTGTAGCCTGTGTCATAATTTCCTTCCTTCTGGGCTGGCTGAGTGGTGCGGTGGTTAAGAGCTGGCTTGGGAAACCAGAGGGCCCCAGGTTCAGATCCCACATATGAGGGCCAGTGACACTGCCCTCTACAGCTAAGATGCTGAACAACAGCTCAACCTGGAGCTGGGCTGCCGTGAGT